CTTACTTAAACACAACACCACAACCAATTGTTTTATCCCTTGTGTACAGCTCAAACCCACCGGATATTGTCCGCTTTGGTTTGTTACGTATCTCCCTCAGCCTCACAATTTTTAACTTGCGTTTGTAAGGGAAAGTTTTCCATATTCTTATAAAAAATGATTCGTTCCTCTCTCCAAACGATGTGTAATCTAAGGATTTTCAAGTACATTCCATTTGCATCCATTATATCTCTAACCTCCATCATGGGTTCCATTTTTCTTTTTAGATGCTGCAAATAATTTATCATTTATAAGGTATGGGGTGTTCTGTCCAAAACAACGGGCCGCAGAATGATTCCGTAATAGAATAGAAGAGAGCTGATTCTTACTCATATTTTTGAAGTTGAAGGTTGTAATCTTTGTACCCCTCGTGTCCTGGGGAAAGAAGAGCCCCGGTTTTTTCAAATAGGTGAACCGGGTCTACACGATCTAACTCCCATGTGAATATATGATCCATGGTTTTTGTTTAATCAGATAAGTCCAAACGCAGCAATGTGACAGTTCTATTGTTTTCTTTGGGCGACAATGGCGGATTTGTAACATGGTATGAACTATGAAGTGGGAAGTACAAAACCGTTCAATCCAATCAAAACTAGAGTTTAAAAAAATGGTGTCTTTTTGTGTTTGCCTCGTTTCATGATAAATTTGACCGTCTGTTAACTTGGAATCTGTGTTCGGTTTAGCTCTCAGAATTTGACCATCTTCTCTGTTCTGACATCTCTCTCTCTATTTCTTCATGTCAAGTAAGGATTTTATGAAGATCTTCAAAAGATATGATTAAATTTCAATTTCAGATATGATTATGAAAAAACATCATCTCTTTGTCAGAACACACCTCTTGCACGTTCTTGGACTTCATTTCTTTCTCTTGTTTGGAACCTGCAAACTGAGCTTGCCAAATCAAAGCCCTCTGGCATTCATCTTCCAATATTAAATCACTTCTTCATTCAATGCTCATAAAACAAGTAGTAATAAAATTAATCTCAAACCACTTGGAAAGCTTAATGATTGAAAGGGGCCTTAGAAAACCAAGCCTTATTCAAAGATATTCTAAGGGTCGGCTCTGGAAATCTAATGGTTGGTGAATTTGAATGCGATGTTCAACTGACTGGCTTGCTGGCATCTATTTGGGTCTTTAATTATGAGGTTGAATAAGCTCCAACGACCCAAATCTAATCTAAAGGGCAGGCTTACTAATCATTATCAATCATTTGGTGCCCTTTCAAAAGCTCCAATGATTTGTTTGCAGAAAAAATCATGGATTTTTACCTCCTTCATATAGAAAAACCCAGATGAAGTTATGTAATTTGACAATCTTGTTCATAAAAACTTCATAAAGAAGTCGATAATTTAGATTGATTGTGGTTTAAAGGAGCCAAATTCAATGTTTGATTCAGAAGACAAATGGCAGAAAGGGAGAGAGCGGCGGGGCAGCAAAAAGAGATGGCAGATGAGGAGTAATGCTATAACAGCTAGCAATGCGGCTACATAACGTGCTACATATTGTTTTTAATTACAACTTTGGGTGTTTAAATTTCATAGTTGCTGGTTGTCGTATTATGTGGAAGAACAAGTTTTTTGGGCCAATAGATTTGAGTAGAGACACACACACACACACACACACACCCACACACTGAGGATGATGGATGATTGAAAGAAATGGGGCGGCGGAGGATTCTGGAAGGCTTTGAAATAGGGAAGCATGCATGGATGTTATGGGCGGTCTGTGCAAGTACGGAATCCTTGGAAATGACCAATTCGCAATTTGGCGGATGAGGTGACAGATAAAACGTATTTTTATTCAGCCCAAACTTTTCATCGAATGCTTTGTAGCTATAGTGGTGTGGATAAACAGATGATTCCATGAAGGGTTTATGATATAAAATGAGGAGAATAATGGAAGATAAATAAAGGGTAATCTAATGGCACCGCCCAAATGATGGGGGCGGGGGGTCTGAAAAGCAGAGGGTAAAGGGTTTAGGAGGGTAGGTGGGTGGGTGTATGGGTGTATGGGGGGAGGGGCGTGCGTTGACATGATTGTATCAGAAAAAAACTAAAAGGAAGGCAGCAATCAGTTTGGAGTTTTAATGGTTAAACACCACATTAAAGGAAAAAAAAGGAAGTTGGTGTTGGTGATGTATGCGTTAGAGGGTTCATAAAAGTGGATTCTTTGTTGGAACAACAAAAGAAAGAAATATTATGTACGTCTCAGTGCTACTCTATCTGTACTGTTTTCTAGCTTTTGGCTGCATGGTGGTGACTTTTCGACGTGGCCTTTTTGTTTATTTACACTCTTCTACGCTCTCTTTTTCTTCCTTCAAAGCTAACATTTTCAACCTCCAATATAGATATCATCCAACTTTCCACTCAAACCCTTTGCAATTTGACTCAGCATAAACAATATGTTTTTTTCTTTCTTTTCTTACCTTTAAACCTTACCTTCTAGTTCTAATGTTCGCCATCGTAACACCATTTCTTCAACACTTGTGGCACTTTTGTAATGGAATTGGTATTTCTTACTACTTCTTTTGATAATTTTCAACAAAATCGATCGTAGATTGGCAAAGTAACTTTGTCAATATCCGGTGGGTGTTGGATAGATGATGGAGCAAAGCGTGGAAAGTGGAATGCATGGTGGGCAGTCGAACATGGAAATAAAACGAGAAAGCTATGTAAAATAAGAAACATATTTACAATGCAATAACTACGTAATTATGAGTCAAATAAACTATCAATTCTGAGGCAGTTAACCAACTGCTGAAGTTGTTTATGTACGGCAGGCACCCAAATTAGGTAAAAAATTAAAATTTTTAAATAATATACAATAAAAGAAAAGACCCCCACGTAAATGGAAGCTCCAAACGACGGAGTTTTGATATATTTATTTGAAGAAATAGGTTTGTGCCAACTCAGGTAGGGGAATATTAGAGTGTGAAAGTATTAATTAATTGGAATTAATAAGTAATGTAGCGTCCGGATATTTATTAAGAAAATTAATTTATTTAATTATGGATATGGGTAGTGGATGAAAAAAGGTGGATGAGATTCCTTTATGACAACAACCAAATGTACTCTCTTCTCCAACTTCCAACGAAAGCTTGTAACTACGTACAACCAAACGACGTGTCGGATTATATTTTTTAAACAAAAGTAGCAGTAAAATAGAAATAAAGTTTTTATGTTTTTTTTATTTTATTTTATTTTTTGTTTGGTAATAATTTAGTCACGGTCGAATAAATCTTAAAGTACACAACACATGATGACGTAATATTTTGTACCTTAACCACATCAAATTCTCTTAAATTTCTCTCCTTTTTTTTTTTTTTTTTTTTTTCCTTTTAATAGCCCAAACCAATTATAACATACAATAGAAATTTATACATGCCCTCTTTCAATTTTTCTTTTCTTCTCGTGGACTTCACCTAGATAGATACGATATAGAGAAGTTTTCATACTCGTGAAATCTCATTTTTAATGAATTATTTGAAAAATTGATTCCCAAATAATTAAAAGAATTGAAAGCAAATTAGAAAGCGTGGTGGGAGCTCAATAATTAAAAGCTTACTATTCCTTAAATGTTGCAAATATTCTCCAAAATCTTCATCTCAGCATCAATGTCTTAATAAAAACAGAGATAAAGATCACAAAATTTGTTATATATGAATTTTCATATAACTCCAACTGAACAACTTTGAAAATAATAATATTGAGAGTAGAAAAATAATGGGTGTTTTTTTTGGATCCTTGAAAATCTTAGCGGGTGGGATTTAATTTATATGCTTTTATTTAATGGGGGATGAACCGTGGGAATGGCTTGGGTTACTGAACATGGGTGTGGGGCCATTGCCCTTTGCAAGGACTTCTGGACCTGTATTGACCTTGTTATTTTCAAAAGCTATATATGGGGGAGAAAAGTGGAAATTGTTGAAATGGATGGGGGCAAAATGGGGATTAAGGAAGAAAAGTTTTGGGTTGAAAAGGACAGAGGAGATGGGGCATAGGCGCACATGGGGATTGTCAGAAATTAGGAGAATGCTAAATTATTTATTCCCTTTTTGACCAATAAAATATTTCTATTTTGTTTATTTGGAAAAATGAAAATAAAAAATAAAAGAGGGCATCTTCCATGGACTCGAACCCAAGCGACACCCAACCACTTCAGTATGAATCAATGAACGAAACAATCTCCACTTGTATATGCAATTCAAAACAAGTAGTGAATGTAAGAGAACGGGGAGCCATCAAAGTTCACATTCTGGTCTTATAGTTCTTATAATAATCTAGTTGCTTAAATAAGAAAAAAAACACGTGGCAAATATAGAAGCAGACAACTTTATTTGGATATGATTTAGTTAGAGTTTTGGGGGGGTGGGGAGGAGAAGAGGAGGAGGGATGAAAATAGAGTGGGCATGTGGTGGTGGGTTTGAATTGGCACTTCACTTGGTGCGCCAAAAGCAAAGATATAATGCACGGACATTGCACAAACTGTCACATTGCATTGCCCTTTCTCGCTCTTGTTTTGTTGTCTCTATCCCAAACGAGCTGTCAATTTCGAGTTCAAAAGGATATTCAAAATAAAATCCAATCCTTTCTTTTTATTCACGTACCCTGTCCACCACTTTTTGAATTTGATAATAATTCTATTGAAGACGGTTGGGATGTTTGGACTAATTAAGAAGAATATCATGAATTTATAAATAAGCATTTTGGAGAAACAAAAAAAATAGAATTATTTATTTATTTGAAAATGCCTAAAATTGAAATTGAAATTAAAGTTTGGTGTTTTTTTTGGAAGTAATTTGATTTGGTGGAATTATTTATTTACGGAATATGGACGAGGAGGAGTAGTAACGTAACTCGAAAAATACGCAGTCAGTACCAATAAAAAAGTAATAAATAGATGGGGAGCGTGGTAAATATAGAAGAAAACGAGGGGCATTTTGGACAGGAAAGTGTCTATAAAACCCTCCGCCATCACCCACGCATAAACTCCCCAACTTCCAAATCTCACATTCAATTTCAACTCCCCTCTTCCATTTTTCTCCCTTTCAAAACATGTCGGCCGGACTCGGAAAATGCAGCAAAATCCGCCACATTGTCAGGCTCAGGCAAATGCTCCGACGCTGGCGCAACAAGGCCCGAATGTCCGCTAACCGCATCCCTTCCGACGTACCCGCCGGACATGTGGCTGTCTGCGTTGGAACCAGCTGCCGGCGGTTCGTCGTCAGAGCCGCTTACTTAAACCACCCGGTTTTCAAGAAGCTTCTGGTCCAAGCCGAAGAGGAGTACGGGTTCACCAACCAAGGCCCGTTGGCGATCCCTTGCGACGAGTCGGTTTTCGAGGAAGTCATCCGGTTCATCTCCAGATCCGATTCGCCCAACTCGGGGCGGTTCGTGAAATTAGACGAATTTCAAACTTTCTGCCATATCGGAATCAGAACCGGCCTCGATTTGTGGCCGGAATCTCGGCCTTTGCTTCATGGGTTAGCCGAGAAATCCATCTGGTAATTAATTTTTGTAAAACGGTCCGAGTGAAAGCGAACAAGAACAAGAACAAGACGAACAAGAAGAACAAAAAACAGAATGGGGCGAGTCAAAGATCCAGATTTGAGTAACCCGAGATGGGTCGTAATTTTAATTAAATCTAATGTGGGGGTCCTTTTTTAATTTATTCGTTTTTTACTCCCCACATCCCTGTTGCCACATATATATAAAGAGGGCAAGAGGAGGATTATGGTGAGGGAGTTTTTGTAACCCCCCGGAGAATGCTTGTGGAGATGGCAAAAGTGGTGGAGGTATCATTTCACCGTGTCGTCCTGAGCTCGAATCGGAGTCGGGGCGAAACAGATGAGGAGGGAGAAGAAACCCGAAGGTGTTGCTAATTTGGCCACAGGTGTGCTTCTGTGTAAATTAATTGATTGATTGGGAAATTTGATGAACCAATTTGAAATGCGAGTATGTTAGTTTGTTTTGATACGGTTGTAACATGTGGCGGATATAAAATAAGCTGAAGCAGCCCAAATGCCCCATTTGCTGCTCTGTTTCATCATCTCAACTCCTAAAAAACTCCCATCTTTTTAATTATTTATTTCTTGTTTTTATTACATCACATGTCCTTCTTGTCTCCTACTATAATCCATGTCTAAGTTTATCACACACAGACACTGCTCCTACTCTTTTTTTCTTTTTTTTTTTCTCTCTGAAATTATTACCCCACTCAATTTTGAATGTAGAAGACTTAAAGATTAATTAGAGGGAGTGAACGAGCGTCTATCTATTAGTATAAAGATTGTTACGTTCTCGTTCTACTTTACAACTAATGTGGGTTCTCACAATTTAGTTCTTCTTTGGGCCTAGCGTCCTTGATAGTACAACGCTCGAGTCCGACTTTGATACCATTTTGTTAAGAATGATGCGCTGATACCATATTAAAAATGATAAATTTTGATATTTAAGAATAGCAAAATCGGTACTCTAATACCATGTTAAAAATGAGAAATATAATTAGGATTGAGAGTGCAACAAACATAGTGGGTTTCCAAACGTTTAAATAAAATAGAAGCTACAAACAAATACCTACAAATAAAAAATAAGAAAAATATAAACTAATTAAATATTATAAATAAAATAAAATATATGATTAGTAATATCTAAAATATATTTCATAATTAAAATTATGGTAATATATTCTTAAAATATTATATTTCAACACATCCAAGTCTAAATTTACAGTCATTAGATATTATTTTTTTTGAACTTTTCGTTTTTTACACATAAATGTTTTGTTTTGCATTTATATTAAATAGAGTGATGAGTATAGAATTGAAGATAGTGTGAGGGTGATAATTAATATAATTATGGTGGGTAATTGGTTAGTAGAAGGGCGTAGCGTGGTAATTATGGTAGTAACGACTAAGGAGCGCAATTTAAGGTACTCTACACAATTAATAAATACCAAAACAAAAGAAGAGGCATAATTATTAGTCTTAGGAATGCTCGTAACTGGGCCCCCATTCTTATGGGCCGTGGCATTGGAAAATCCCCAGTTGTTGTATGAGCCCAACTGGAAATACCGAAGCCCATATGTGACACAACCGATGAGACCCTAATCCATCTTGGGCTGTGCCTAATTTTTTATTTATTTTTGAATTCAATGTGTGGAGGAAGAAAAATGATAGAGAATTGAGTGGTTTGTTGTCGGTGTGTTTGATTGAAATGACCCCTAGAAAGTAGGGAAATTGAAGGAGAATATATGTAGAGCAATTCCGGAGTTCAAAGCGTGGGCAAAAGGTGCGTTGAGGCTAGTAGGCCATCAAGGGAATTGGAAAGGTGAAAAGAAAAAAGGTAAAAAAGTAAAAAAAAAGTGGGTTTTAGAAATGGATGAATGATTGGGACAAAGACAATAATAATAAGACAGCCTTAATCACGCTGCTGGTTGTTGGAGACACCCATGTATTTATGTTTTGTAACAGATCAAAATTCACTCATTTTTCTCCACAATTCTCTCCCCCATCGCCTTTATTCATCTCTCAAAATACGTGTTTTCGTTGTCCTCTTTGAATTACCCATCCAATGTTCAAAATTAAAAGGGAGTATAGATTGCATGGCCTTTCCTTCCCTTCCTTTCCCAATACTGCAGCTTCTAAAGCAGTGGGAACAAAACGACAGAGTAACAAAACAAAACAAAACAAAAAAAACAAGCGAAACGACAGTAATAATAATGGCAGGCTTCTGTTTGTGTAATGAGCGAAAGAAAAACTTAGCCATTTTTTGTTGTACACAGAGACAGAGACGAAGGTTTTGTGTTCTTATGGGGGGAGAAGCAAACAAAACTTAGGTGTGGACCAGGCAGTGCTTTTCCAGCAAATATCGCCCGTTTTCTTTTCCTCATTTTGATTAAACAAAACCCTAATCCCTAAACCTTGGAAGAAGAAGAAGAAGAAGAAGAAGAAGAAGAATGATGCGGTGGTGTTTGTTGAAGGCCCCAGATGGATGAGTTGTATTTAAACCCCTATTTATAATCCTATTTAAATTATGGCCCGCCCGTTTTCTTTTTTTTTACATTTCAAATCAACCATTCATACATAACCAGTCATTCATTCAGATGCAACACCCACACCGACACCACTGTTGGTTAATTCTACGTTGGTTAATTTATGAAATGATCTTGAATTTATAAGTGAGGAATACTATCTCTATCCATATCCATATATGAGATTCTTTATTTATGTTTTTATTATTATTATTATTATTTTAAAGTTAAGAATGTGAAAAGAAAAGGGAAAAAGAAAAAGAAAAAGAAAAAAAAGGTAGAGAAGGATGAGATGGACGTTGAAGTATGAAAAAGTGGAATTTTAATTAAAGAAGTTGAAATTTGCAGACGAAAACAAATAGAATCCAATGAGACATAATATAAAAACAAAACAAAAAAGAATCGCCATTTAATTTCAGACATTGCATTCAAACAGGATTTGTTTGTGTGGGAAAAATAAAAGAATTGTGGGATTCAAGCTGTCTCATGTAAACGCGTGGGTCCCACCCTATAATTTCATTGCCTCATTTTTTTTTTTTAATGTTTTAATTAACAAACCATTCTTTGGTCTCAAGTCACAAGCTTATTATATATTATATCCTTTTATTTTTCTAAACTCAAATTCTCTCCAATCATTAAAAAAACCCTTTTATATTTTCCATAATATTTAATTAGATTAATTGAACCCATAAGAAAAAAAAATAATAATAATAAAAGAAAAGGCCATCCGATTGAGTGTAGAATTGAACAAAATAGGTAGAAACAAAGATGTGATGGGAAAATATATATATATATATTTAAGACATTTAAATTTGATGAGAAGTCACATTAGAGAGATACAAAAGGACACAACAACGCTATCAACAATAAATAAAAACCATAATAATAAATATATATTTGTTTATAATTTTATATTGTATATGCACCCAAATTATATCGCATATTACCAAAATAATTAATTTAATTTCTTAGTAATATTTATAATTTAATGACACAATAAAAGTTGGATTAAAATTAAAGGAGTAAGAACACGTGTCGAGGAAGTATTGGATTAGGGTTGAGTATTTTAGTAGGTGGGAGGCGGATGATAATAAGCCATTTAGGAAGCATACATAATTAATATATCCCGTGTTTAACCCTTCTCGAATTGCCACAAAGAAATCATTCAGCAGGCCTTTTGCGTAATTTGACAGCTATACACATCATCAGTATTATTTGTATGGTAACTAATTTAGACGAGACATTAATGTTTGTAATTATAGTTCCCCCAACAACTACACTACACATAATGGAAGTTGAGAATTATTTATTTAATTATATGAGCTAAGCTAGGTTGAAAGGGACAAACATGGAATAAATGCAGCCAAATAGAATGAAGATGAATAAATAATGTGCGTATTCTTTTATTCTTATAATCCATACGACATTAACATGGGGGTTGGTGAGGTTGTTGATAATGTGCGTATTAATTAAGTTAATTAATCCTCTATTATTGAGGTAATGGTGGTTAGCTTGTTGCTTCATTTGGGGTACTATAGTATTGGATTTTGACATGCATCCGAACACACCCTCAATCCTTGCCTTTCTTAAGGATTCTTTTACCTTTTCTTTTATTTTATTCATTTTCTACATTAATTCTCAAAGCGGTGCGTTTTGGAGTGTGGAGTGCCGACGCTGTCAACTTCGATTAATAAAAGCAAATACAAAGGCATCCGGGGTTCACTAAACGTAAACGAAACGTGGTCGCTTTCGGTGACACGTGGAAAAGCTCCAGTTATTTTTTTTTATATTTTATATTAATTACAGAGGAAAAAAAAAAAAAAAAAGGGAAGGAAAAGTGGGAGAAGTGAAACGTGTGGGTAAGTGGGGACCACCGTGTCCACTTTCTCCTGTCATCGGATGCGCTGCTGCTCCACTATAATAAGAACGCAAATGCGAACGAGGAGGGCGTTTGTTTGATGGGGGCGTGGACCCCATCCACGCTCCATTGGGCCCCACTTTCGTTTCCCATGCAGTGAGTTCCACCTTAATTAACCTACGCCCTCTCTACCTTCTTCTTTTTCAATTTGACCTTCCCCTGCTTCCGTTTCCATTATAAATCACCGCCCTTTCATCTATTAATATGCATATAAATGGAGGGAGTGGGTAGGGAAAGGAATAATCATGTTGTCCAAATGGTGCAGGTGGTGTCTCCAGTGTCCAGGCCTTTAAATCTTCACTCTGTTAAACATACAGTCCCATGCAGGTTTTGACATTATTATTATTAATATTCTGGGAAAACTAAACAACCCATGAAAACGGCACCGTATTTGTATGTTTCAACCAGTATAGAATAATTTAGAAAATTTGATGGAATTGATCCACCCTGAAAATAAATGGGATGTTTGAGCAAATTGAGTAAAAAGATAATTGGGTTTTGGTTTTTTACCCGGTAGCCGAAAACGACAACAAATTGCTCTTCTTGGATACCCTTTCCTCTCCATTTTCAACGCAATCCAGATTTACTCTGTCTCTCTCTCTCTGTAATTATATTATGTTTTTTTATTTTATTTTCTCAATGGATGTGACCATTCAATTCAATGGATTGATTAGAGTGTTTATTCAATCAACCACCCCTTAATAACAAAACAATTTTATTTTCTAACCCGGGGAGTGGTCCTGATGCTAATACACAATTATATGCATGTATATATATATATATATATATATAGAGAGAGAGAGAGAGAGAGAGAGAGAGCGAAAACATGGCGTCAGCATTTTTGGGGTCATTAATTTTTTTAGTTCAAGGAATTGCTCCTACTTTCATTTTCTCATTAATTTCGAAGACAGAGACCGACTACGTGCTTCCTCAATTTAATCAATATAAAAATTAATCGTTAATTAAACCTAGTTTTGGATTATACACATGGTACCCGGATACAGATCCGGCTCCTTACATTGCTGACCGCAAGATCAGAGAGCATAAATTTGATGGTGTGGTGGGCCAGGCAGGGTAGCGGGTTTGACTCGGGGGGAAAATGGTCGGCTGTGATGGTGGGTGTAGAGTGAAAGCGGCGTAGAGGAGTGTAGCCCAAAGACGGCAAAATAACAAAGAAATGAGCTGTTGTAGAGAGGGGGAGGGAGTGACGGTGGTCCATAGTGGCAGCGTAATGTAAATAAATACTAACAAATCCAACTTTGTTAACCATCGGATACAGCTCAGCTGTAGCTTCCTCAGCAAAAGAGGCGCGGGAACTGGGAGGGGCTTATCCGTCATTATTCCTTTATTCCATGGTCAAATTTGTCTAACCTCCCCCGCCCCCCTCCTCCCTCTTTTCTATTCTTTTTCCGTCTGTCTTATTAAGAATATTAAATTTTATAATTCTTCTATAAATCATTTTAATTTCAATATAAGTTTTAAAAAATAAATTAAAAAAAAGGACAAGGTTTTTGGAGCTTTTACAACGTTCTGGCTTTTTTAGTGGACATACCGAGTCCGAATATTTTCATTTTCATCTCTCTCCCTCCCTCTCTCTCTCTCTCTCTCTCTCTCTCTCTCTCTCCCACCCACCCTCCACCTCCCGCTCCCGCTCCACTTCCGCCGTCGCGGTCGCTGTTGCCGCCGTCACTTTTCCTTCGCAGCCGGTTGCTGCGATTAACGATTCCTCGCTTTGGATCTTCATTGCCGCAATTTCAACTCCTTCGCTGTCTTTACTTTCACGCTCTCACTATTCCTTCTCTTAACCGAGTGTTCCTTTTTTTTTTTTTCCTATCTGATACGTCTTCTTTCAAGCTGCATTTCTATCAGTAAGTCGACTTCCAGTTCTTTTGTTTTTTTCTTTCTCCCTACTGATTTCTTCTCGAGCTTTTGCCTGCGTTTGTTTCCGGTTTCGAATTCAGATGACAGGAGCATCTGTTATTTGACTATGAATGTTCTGTTCTCGCAATCGCGATGTTTATCATTTCGGTCCTTTTTTCCCCCTTCTTTCTCGAATTTGATTCTGATTCTTAATTGTTTCTTCGATGGAAATATCTTCTTCTGTCGGTAATAACTTCCACTTTTTCTTCAAATTGAATTTGGTTCAACTGCGGAGGGATTTTGATTTCAACCCGGAATCCTGATAACCGTCTTTTTTATGGTGTGGTATCAGTGCATTTTACGCCGTGTTTATTGGTTGGATATTTTAAATCAGCACTATTAGTCTTTAACTAGTTTGGACCATTTTCTAATTCATTTGGATCTCGCTTTGCCTGAGAACACTGTTGATTCTTTCTTGTGTTGGTAAATTATATTTAGTCTTATCTTTTATTTTTTTAATAAAAGAATTCTCAATTAACTCCAACAGACGCCAATTGTCTTTTGGAGTCATTGATCTTCGTCTAGCAATGGTTCTCTGCTTAGATCTCGATGGTTCATTTACTAAACAGACAGTGAAGACATCGTTAACATGCATGCCTATCTGAATCATTTGTAGTCATTGAGCTTATTTCTGAATCATTCCACTAAATTTATCCGGTAAAATTATGGTTTAGCTTTCGGGAGATGAGTGGGGGAGTTTCTAACTGCCATCCTTTAAACTTCTTCCCCTTCTGGTGTTTCTGTGTAGCTACTTTTTATCCTGGTGTTGTTTGTCTCTCATAAATAGCATTTACACAGCGTTTGGACGTGGTCTGTTTTGTTGCTAAAAATGTGGGCTTAAAGAAATGAATTTCCATTTTTGGAACCTTATACTTTCATCATCAGTACCTGCAAAAAGTTGCGCAGTTACTTCCCTTAATCTGTGCCCACTTCCCTTATTTAAACTAGTTCATTTGTGCTCTCGATTATCTGGAATCTATGATGTATTTTTCTTAAAAAATTCTTTAGCATGAATACGCCATCGATACAATGTGTCATATAAAGTATTAAGTACCACTTCAGAAAAATCAGAACCAAGTACCACTATGTGATGATGCCATTAGGAGTATGGGATTAATTTTGACGGAATCTTGGTTTAGAGTCTCAGAGTGTTCTATTCTTTCCCTTTTATAACTCGTTAATTTACCTTTATGCAGCCTGGAATGGACCGACGAAGTTGGCCCTGGAAGAAAAAATCATCTGAGAAGACAGCAGAGAAGGCTAATGCTTCAGAGTCGGCTGGAAGTCAGGGTGATCAGGTAAAATTAGTAAAAACTAATCCCTCCAAACTCACCCCCCACCCACCCCAATTTTACCGCTTACTGTGGCTGTTCAGTAGTACTGTTATTACAACAATTCTCTTTGTTTCCCACAGTACTTTTAGATGATGGTGATGGGATTTAAATTTTTAATAGCATTTTACTTTTACTAAACTTGAACCAATTTTCTTAACGTATTTCCTTTCCTTCCTCGTTCAGGATGGTTGCAAAAAACCAAGTTATGTACAAATCTCTGTTGAGTCGTACTCTCATCTTACCGGTTTGGAGGATCAAGTAAAAACTCGCGACGAACAAATCCAGGCACTGGAGGATGAGATTAAAGAGCTCAGCGAGAAACTGTCGGCTGCACACTCAGAGATGACTACTAAGGACAACCTAGTGAAACAGCATGCTAAAGTTGCTGAAGAAGCTGTCTCAGGTATTATATATCTTTAGTTGATATATTGAGAGAGAAATTTTTTATTGTAAAATTAAGGTGATTGGAATTTTCTGCTTATTCTGTGTGCTTCGTTACGAACCAATGCCTTCACTACAGGTTGGGAGAAAGCTGAGGCAGAAGCTCTGGCATTGAAAAATCACTTAGAGACAGTGACACTTTCCAAGCTCACTGCTGAAGATCGGGCGTCACATTTGGATGGTGCTCTGAAGGAATGCATGAGGCAGATAAGAAATCTGAAAGAAGAACATGAACATACATTGCAAGAAGTTATTTTCACCAAGACTAAGCAGTGGGACAAAATTAAACTTGAGTTGGAGTCAAAAATGGAAGACTTGGATCAAGAACTTCTTAGGTCTGCTGCTGAAAATGCTGCACTTTCAAGGTCATTACAAGAACGTTCCAACATGCTGATTCAAATAAGTGAAGAAAAGCTACAAGCTGAGGCTGAGATTGAGTTGCTGAAGGGCAACATTGAATCGTGCGAAAGAGAAATAAATTCACTTAAATACGAATTACATATAGTTTCCAAGGAGCTAGAAATCCGTAATGAAGAAAAGAATATGAGTATGAGGTCTGCTGAAGCAGCCAACAAGCAGCACATGGAGGGTGTTAAGAAAATAACAAAACTAGAAGCAGAGTGTCAAAGATTACGTGGTCTTGTGCGGAAGAAATTGCCTGGCCCTGCTGCACTTGCTCAAATGAAGCTAGAGGTTGAAAGTTTAGGCAGGGAATATGGAGACACCCGAGTGCGGAAGTCACCTAGTAGGCCTCCAACTCCACATATGTTATCTGTGCCTGATTTTTCCCTTGATAATGCACTGAAATTCCAGAAGGAGAACGAGTTCCTCACAGAACGAATGTTTGCCATGGAGGAGGAAACAAAGATGCTTAAAGAGGCTTTGGCAAAGCGTAATAGTGAATTGCAGACTTCTAGGAGTATGTGTGCCAAGACGGCTAGTAAACTTCAAAACTTGGAGGCACAACTCCAAAATAGTAATCACCAAAGAAGCTCCCCAAAATCTGTTGTTCAGTATAATGCCGATGGCTTTTCATGCCAAAACACAAGTCATCCTCCCAGCGTGACCTCTATGTCTGAAGATGGAAATGAGGATGGACAGAGTTGTGCAGATTCTCTATCCACAGCGGCAATCTCTGACATTTCCCAATTTAGGGAGAAGAGAAATGAGAAAATAAGTAAAACCGAAAGTGGAAGTCACTTGGGGCTCATGGATGACTTTCTAGAAATGGAGAAATTGGCATGCCAATCAAATGAGTCAAACGAAGCCATCCTTGCTTCAGATAATTCAAACAATAAGGCGTCTGAAGTTGAACACCAGGAGTCCAATGATATCCAGTCGGAACAGCATCCGGATTCAAGTCCATCTACAGATGTTGTATCTTCTACTGTTGATTTGTCAACGGAGAGTGCTGATTCTGATGGATTGCCTTTGATGAAACTCCGATCAAGAATATCTATGATTTTTGAGTCTATTCCAAAGGATGCAGATACTGGAAAAATTTTGGAGGATATCAAATGCATTGTGCAAGATGCTCATGATGCACTTCAGCAACCCACCATCAGTTATTTTAGATGTGTTTCTGAAGTGCAATGCCCTGATACGACATGTGATAGGCAAGCCAATCCTGATGATGCTGGTTTAGGAGTAGAAAGAGAAATTGCTTTATCCCAGCCTGCTGCACACAATCAGCCTATGAACCAAGAGCTGGAAGCTGCCATCTCTCAAATTCATGAATTTGTGTTGTTCCTTGGGAAAGAAGCTTCCAGAGTTCATGATACGGCATCTCCAGATGGGCATGGACTGGGTCAAAAAATTGAGGAATTTTCTGCCACCTTTAGTAAAATGGTGCATGGGAACACAAGTTTGGTGGACTTTGTTATTATTCTTTCTCATGTTTTATCTGAAACCAGTGAGCTCAGATTTAGTTTCATTGGATGCAAGGATACTGATGGCGATACCAATAGTCCTGATTGCATAGACAAGGTAGCATTACCAGAGCACAAGGTTGTACAAGACGACTTACTGGACGAAAGATATACAAACGGTTGTTCTCATATTTCTAGTCCAACTTCTGATCTTGAAGTTCCTTGTGATGGAAATCTAGCCTCCAGCTATGAATCAAATTCCAGATTACCCAAACTCTCATCAGAGGACATTGAAGAGCTAAAATTAGCCAAGGAGAACCTGGCAAAGGACTTGGCAAGATCTAGAGAGGATCTTGAGGCAACAAAACGTAAACTGCAGGAAACAGAGCAGCTGTTAGCAGAATGTAGATCACAGTTGGTTTTTTCTCAAAAGTCAAACAGCTTGTCAGAAACGCAGCTGAAATGTATGGCAGAGTCATACAGGTCACTTGAAGCGCGTGCGGAGGATTTGGAAACTGAATTAAATCTTTTGCGAGCTAAATCTGAAGCTTTGGACAATGATCTTCAAGATGAGAAGAGGAATCATTATGAAGCTTTGTTCAAGTGCCAGGAGCTGCAAGAGCAACTACAGAGGTTAGTCTTGTACTTTTCTCTGTTGCATGAACAGCATAAGGCCGCCTATCTGTATATGCCAAACGTCTATAAGACTGTCCTAAATTTCAACATCCAATTTCCCATTTCATGCCTGATTTTATAGGTCTTTATCTGTCTTCATTTTAGTTGTCTCCAAGTCATTTTTCATCTCCCGTCTCATGTTGCAGGAATGAGGTTTGCGCTATTTGTTCTTCAGCAATTGATGGTCATCCCCAGAAGAGCCAGGTGAAGTTGAATACTCTTTCCTATTTTTAAATTGCTGTGACTCCCAGAAACGCTCTAGAATTACCATCATAACATTTTCAGGAATGAGAGTGAACAAAAGCAGTAACTTGTTCACCATTTTTCTTTTCTGGAAACACTAATGCAATATTTTGCTGTGTTCCCCTGTTCATTCTTGATTGTAATTTACAAATATCGTTCAAGAGTAGCAATAATTTGTTGGACTTTCTATATTGAACTTGGTGATTATTTTGTTACATTAGGAGATGGAGTTGAGTGCTGCTGCAGAGAAGTTGGCAGAATGTCAGGAAACAATTTTTCTTCTTGGCAAGCAGTTGAACTCTCTGCGACCCCAGCCAGATTTTGGTGGATCTCCATTTAGCGAGAGAAGTCAAAGAGGCGAAGAGTTTACCGAGAACGACCCATCTAAAAGTGGCACTAATCTGCTGGACATTGATCGGTCCGAAATGGATACCGCCACTTCTGCAATGACGCCCGTAGTCGGCGCAGAGTCCCCTTGTAGTGCTTCTGACGACGATGGAGGAAGCTCCTTGAGATCGCCTATGAAGTATAAACATTCGAAACACACGCCAACCAAGTCAAGCTCCTCTTCCTCCTCGGCTCCCACCCCAGAGAAACAGACTCGAGGATTTAGTAGATTCTTCTCCGCGAAAGGAAAGAACAACAGCCATTAGGGGCATGCAATTGTGTTGCATGATAATGTGATTCTGTTTAAAATATTTCATTCAATAATATAAAATAGATAAAAAAAAAACCAAACATAGACCTCTAAGATCTTTAGATGGGAGTCAGTTTTGGGAGCTCTATGTCATAAAAGTTAGCACATAAATGATGCTTTTCAAATCTCTCTCCTGGCTGCTGTACCTAATGCTGTACATTATATTCACATCTGTTCAATTTTCTTCTTTTCTTTTTGTGTTTCTCGCCCTTACGGTCTTGACTGTGGTCTTTCTGAACTGGAACACATATAATGCAAAGATGTTCTAGAAGGCTTAGCTTTCCTCCACACTCATCTTACCTACACTGCCTCTTGATGAAGTAAAACAACGCCTGTGCTTTGTTGTTGCAGCAACAGTTCTTGGGCGGGATTTGGGCTGGACTTTAGAATGATCGATTGGAAAGGGTATGTTATTGCAGGGATAAGCATAGGCCGTATTGATGAGTTGAAATGGGGGCTCCATGTGGGGTAATTTGTTCACATGCAACTCAGTTCAACTCAATCAATGACAGCTAAAACTGTGGTTCTTAGTTCAACCGTGCTGTACAAAACAGTACACTGTATGATACAGTTCTCTCTTAATTGAAAGTCTTTGACTTTATTATCACGTAGCTGAGATTGAGAAAGGGTGAAATGAAGCAACATCACTCCATTAATTGTTATCACATAAATTTCTATCTTCTTCCTTGAGAATACTTCCCATTTTTAACGAGTTATGCACGGACTAGATTAGAACTCGTTTCAACCGGTTCTTAAAAATGTGGCTCCATCTGAGTTCAAAAATGACATTTACAACCAACAGACTCCTGAATATAACTCAAATGACTCCCACTTGTTGGGACAAAAGAAGAAAACATTAATACCAGACTGGACTCGATTCATTCTCTTCTAGTTTAGCTCATCATTTGGATTGGATAGACTTATCCAAATTCCACACTAATGCAAGCTAAGCAAAGCATTGATGGATGGATGGATATGAAATGGTGTAACATGTGACAAAGATGTCGGTTGGATGCATATAATAGACAAATTAGCTTCAAAATTTTGCATACATTTATGAGTTGTTTGAAATGGATCGGGTAATGAAATAGACTATTAGAGAACGACCCATGTATTATTTTCTTGTTCTTCAACCATGATCCTTAGAATCGCTACTAATTGTTTTGTGTACGAATGAGTTGAAGAGCATTGAAAGGCCACTTTTTGAAGTGCATTATTTCAGTACATCTGTGTTTGGGATGAAGAGACAGCGCAGTAAATATGAAGCAAACCCCCCAGCTATTAATAATGCCTCTTCAAAATCTCATATCATAATGTTTCCCAAACAAATATCATTATTTTTTATTCCCTAAATTCAAGAAAATATTCATCAATTTTTTTAAGTAAAATACAATTTAGCCCTTCTTTTTTTATTATTATTATTATAACATGCAGTCCAAGATCCCTCCACCATTTTCGAAGAGATTTTATTTACTATAATATCATTCACATTACCTAATCTACCTCGAACCCACGTGCGAACTATTCAATATTTTTAGATTTAAACCACGCAATTGAGGGAAGGAAAACAAACATAAGGTCTGAAATCCTGCAAGGGAGACCCCTACAACCCACCCAACTTTCCGACATGTTTCCAACCTGACCCAACCCATATGAGTACAATACAAGTGCCATGAATTTTCCCCAAAGTAATATGGTTTTGTTTTTATGTGCCCGAAGTTATAATTTATAGTGAGGGATAATATTTATATTTTTATGTATACATTCTCTCTTTCTAAAAGTTGGATTAGAAGGCAACATGTTTTTGTTCAATTTAAATTTAGACCCATAAGTTCAAAAAAATTAATTAATAAATCCATAAAGTGACGTGGGAGCTACTTGATTTGATGCAATCACGAGCTTTGGTCTGTTGTTGATGATAATCCCAAATGTTTTTTTTTTTTTTTTTACAAATTTATTTATTTAATAGATAAAAAGAAAATGTATATTCTATGTTTGTTCAGTGAACTATACATTAATGATTAAAGGTTCATATACTCATAATCTTAACCACTCCCTCATTTCCACGTCTCTAAATCTTCTTCTTTTTGTCAAATATAATATATTAGTTGTCACATGAATGCTTGCTTATATATGAAATTATAAAATTGAAAAATGGGAGATTGGCATACGTAGAGAGAGAGAACGTTAGGAAGAGGACAATCAAATCTTGGTTCAACGTGGAAGTAACAGTGAAAAAGATTGGAAAGGACCATCAAACAAAAACAAAACATCGTATATAACCATCTTATTCTATCCCAAATGTATTCATCTTAGTCTATGTTAAAATTTGGTCACAATTTAAAAACATTTTAAAACTAAAACAATACTTTTATCATCGTAATCATAATTAGACACGATGTTAATACAATTTTAAACTAAATAAAAAGTCTTAAAATACATTAATGATATATCATATTTTAAATTATCATTCACCTGAAACTTGATTCTTCTCTATATAAATTTGCATCTTACCTTCATTACGAGGCCCATATTTTAATATTTCCTTGTCTTTTTTCTTCGTGTATGGTTTGAATTAAATTAATTATAAAATAATTATTGTAGAGATGCGAAAATGACATAAAATATGGGATTATAATAATTTTGAATCATATAAATGAATATATACAGAGAGAGGGTTAATTAGTTAGTTAAAAAAAAAAAAAAATCCTCAATATTCTAAAAATAGGGTAAATTAAAAGTGTTCATATTTAGAAAACTTTGATCCGAGCTTTAAACATGAGTGTATAAACGGTAAGAAAGGGGCGTAATTGGTAAATAATTTTTGGAACGGTAATTTGTAAGGACAGTAAATAAATAAAGAAAAAAAGGGCAAGTTTGGTAGAAGTACCCTAAAAGTCATTCCATGTTTAACCGGTGAAGAAGGCCCATGTCCCTACGCCTACTATTTGCGACTCCATCCCTCCGTGTATCCCACGCGCACCACATGTTACTTCCTCCCCCATCTTCATTCCTAACCGTCCGATCCTCTCTTATTTTTTATTTTGTTTTTACTTTGGCTCGTGGCTTGTGGCCCCCACTCACATGGGTTCCTGGAATCCGGAGGATTTTTTTCCTCTGCGGACTCCTCCGTCTGCACTTCCAAAGTTGTCCCCTCTTCCAAATTCAACCCCTCCTCTTTACTTATTTACAAATCGTAGAATTTGGTTAAATGGTCTTAATTATTTCATTATCATTACTAATAAAGGAATAAAGATACAGAGTTTAATAATCATTATTATTACTTTAATGCTCGTTTTTTTTGTAATATGTATAAAATATAATTAGGGAAAGGAAAGCGTCGGGCGGTGACAGAACATTCCCTGGCGTTTGGCGAGGGGGTAAGGGATTGGATTCCTTTGTAGTTTGTACAACAGTTTTAACGGCAAAAACGGTTGAGTTAATCGAGATAATCACAAACGTCGAGGCAGACAAAGCCCTTAAAATCAGCCACTAAATTTGTGGTTTAAAACAGAGAAACAAAAGCAATTACAATTTCATTTCCCCAAAACTAATTACAATTAATTTCAAACTCATCCCACATTTTCTGGCATTCAAATTCTCCATCAACTGTTAAAAATAAGAAACAAGAAGAGGTTATATGGCAGAGAAGCAGTGGTGCAGCTTCATCATTTTGGCCAGAACAAAAAGGAAACTAAGCCTATGATATATATTCTAATAATAATAAGATAGTAATACTTCATCTAAGCGTGGAAGTTAGGGACTGAAAGGAGTGTTCATCGCAGGGAATGGTGAGGCCCATGTCATGATCGAACCCAAATTCGTCAGCGGCTTGTTGGAGCAAGATTTGAAACTGAGGATGATTCAGAAATGTGATGGGGACGATGTATCTGCTTCGATTTTCGCCCACGTACACCACGAAGTGTCCTTTGGGGACATCCAAAGGGAGCCCCGCTAAGTCGTCGTAGTGCTGGTGCTGCTTTCGCCCCATGCTGGAGCAGCGCTTGATCATCTGCTTCAGCACCGCCGTCTGTGGCATTTTGGTAATGCCCATTGTTGTTGGTGTGAGAAAACAGGGGATTGTGGAAAGTGGAGAGCGGGTTGTGGGGGGATTTATTGTGGGAGAGAAATAGAGAGAGACAGGGCCGAGGGGTATTGGTTTATGACAGAGCACGGGTGTTTTGGGAGAAGTGAATGACATGTATGCACCCAAAACGGCCCACCCCCTCTCATTTTTGCTACTCACTTGGCCCCTCCTTTTTTTTTTTTTTTTTTTTTTTTTTTTTTTTTTTTTTTTTT